TGTTTCAAAAATATAAAAAAAACTATTAATTCATCACAGAAAAAATTGAAGTCGCATTTATTCATTACACATTGCATAATAATTATCAAATAACCAGAATGCCATTTATTCAGTCCTACGTTTTGGACTGGAACAACAGTGAAAATCTACGACTATCAGGGTAAAACACACTAAGTAAATTTCAAAACATCTAGATTTTCTCAATAGCTTCCTAATATCATTCATCTATGCTGAATTGAAATTCATTTAATCTAAATGTTTAGAATTTTAATTGATCACGAATGTGACTTGACTGTTAGTCGAAATATTCTCTGTGTGGTATAGATGTCCTGATTCTGGTTCACTTGATTTCACACTCGTCATAATCTTCTGTCTTTATTCGCTATAAGATTAATTTGGAAAATCCATCCTTAAACATATTAACCTGGATAATAAGTTTTTGTTATAAAATAATAATTCGTCGCAACTTCATTAATGTAGCAACTCGATGCAGTAAATATTATTTCTCATTCAGATAACTATTCCAACTAGAGGTAACAAACAAAATAGGATTCTGACCTATTTTGCTCCTAAATCTATTTGTTTCTTTTTCTCCAGACAAAAAAATTATACATGAACGAAGTATCTAATACTTTTTTTAAAAGAAAAACAATTGGGTCGTAGTAACAATCTATACTAAATTTCATTTTTTTTATGGTGGTACTTCTTATAAACTACTCAAACAATATTAAAAAGTTATGAATGATATTCACAATCTATTCTGAGTAACTTCATTAGTTACATCCATACTAATACAATCGGTTTTTATCTTAGTAACATGAAGACAATATTTGTAATAAGTTTAATTAATTGTCATTACAAGTTTATTGTAATATATAATTTTCTTGAAAAATGTATTATAATACACATTTGTTATTGTGCTTAGTATAGATTTTATAACATGAAATTTTTAATTGACATGCCAAATTACAAATTTATTGAAAACACTATCAGTTTATACCAATAGAAAGTGATCAATATAGTTCAAACTATAGAGAAACAAAAAAGAGAATCTTGAAGTATTACAGGAAAAATATTATCTTGTGCTAACAGAACAAGTAGTTACTTCTGAAAAATTGATAGTATGATCAATAACAATGTGGATATTTGAATTGATCGATGCTAGACTAGAGTCTCAGGGAGAATATAGTCATTAACAAGAGAATGTATTCAATGTATAAATTTTAAACAAACATAAAGGCGCTATAGATAGCAATTGGTTGCTATCAATTAAATCTATACGCAATATATATAATATAGAGCCAAATTTATTTGTGTGACAGAATATAGATTTCAAATAATAAGATATTATGTGAATATAAAGTTTATTTATTTTACAAGGTATAATTATAACAAAGAATAAAGGCTATGGATATGCACAGATAGACAGGAAAAGGTACTTTGATCCTGAAATAATTTCGTTTAACACAATGTTATTAACAATTTGAATATATATATATATATAGTATCGTAAATTCAGACACTTTACTTACGTCATTATTCATATATATATATATATATATATATACAAACATATAATTTAACACGCTCTGAAAATTTTACTCTGCACTTCACACATGTAATTCAACACTAATCTTAAATTTAGGCACGTTTGAACTAGTTTAAGACAAAATTGTAGTTCAGCCAGTATACAAAAATCAAATAAACCAAACATTTAGTTTATCACCTTGTTAAATGTGAAATTTGACATATGTACCTATGATAGAATCATAAAGATGGATACAGAAAGAAACATCAGGCAAGTACATGATATTACTGACCGTTGAAACTTGGACTGTCTATTAATAGTAAGATAAGGAATGAATACTCAACTTGACTAAAATTTACTTCTGATTCAACTACAAAACTAACTTATCAGTGTAAAAGTATGGGTGAAAAGTAGAAGAAAACAGCTGGGGAAAAAAACTCAAACAAAAGAAACATGTCTAATTAATACCAAAAAATATATACATGATTTTACTACTTACACACTGTGATTGAAATCTTCTAGACAAATGATGATCACCCATATAAATTTGTCTCTAGAAGTTTACTCAAACATTTTTTCTGTATAATAAATTTTTTCTGAATAAAAAATCATCAAGACCTATCAGATTGATGTAGATGAACACATATAATTTTGTAGTAAATCAATGTAGTGAAAAATTTACCTTCAAAATGTCTATTGGTTATTATTTTACAGTAATTAGTTTTCTAATGTATAAATCAAGTTGATATTGACCAATCAAATTCTATGAGATCACTACAATGATGGTGATGCTGGTGGCGATCATGTAACATGTACGTTATGTTCTGAGGATATGTTGATAACAGTAAAAAAAACCCAAATGAATTCCTACTGACTTTAAGGCCTTACATGATTTTGTGCTCTCTGTATTAAAAAGCATTATTTCCTCTCTAGAAAAAGGGAAGTAAACATTTAGAGATAATATATACTATAGTTGATTGTAATAAATACTAATGCTTTCCTTTTTTCTATGCAAAAGTGAAAATTGTATATATATATATATATAGGGTTCGAATCCCGGAGTGAACATCAACTCTGAGATATGGGTACATACAGCTGACGAGTCCTAAATAAGATGAAACGCACCTCATGGATTCCATTGTTAGCCACCATCCATCTTTGCTAATAATGTTTGTGCCTTGAGGTAATATCGAGGCAATCCGCACGGAATGTACATAAGCCAATAAGAGACTAGTCAATTACAGTCCTAAACATCAATGGGAAGATTCAAACAAGCACCAAATGAATTTAATTTCTAATATGATTACAAAATAATAAAGTTATCTATCACAAACCTTCATCATTGACTATATGTGGTAGATAATGGTGTTATAATCATATATGTCGTCAATATTTTTTATGAGTAAATCTTGATTAGGTATGTATAACACAGTCGATTTGATTGTATATACTTTTAAAAAATAATAAACTAACAATGAAGTTTTCTATTCGATATTACAAAATCAACATTTTTGTATTCACAGTCTCAATGTCATTTTAATACCTGCTATTTGAATTTGAAGAGAGAGTATGTGAACGCATAAACAACCATACATGGATACACTCGAATATACAATATGCTTAACAATACTTAAAGTGAACAAAGGAAAGATATAAAGTAGAATACACTGTAGATTATGTGTTCAATGGCTAGTGATGTAGAAAAATACAACTGTTATGAAACTTATGATAAACAACATCATAAATATGCTGATTGAATAATTACGTTTATTACTATATTTAGAATCAACAAATGCTTAATAGACTTGTAGTCTATTTGACTTAAAAACTGTTGTTACTAATATTCTGTTGTTATTCACTGGGACTCAGAAATAATATTGAAAGTTAGGTGTATAAAATATATATCACAAACTGAAAAGTAGGGAGAAAATTACCGTTACATTGATCAAAAATGAAGTCCCCTGAATGGTTTGGAAATAATCAAACAAGTATTCATTCAGTTTAACTCGGTTCCAATCGATCTCTTTCGGTAAACTCTAGATTATCAATTGAATACCAAATTCGATAGTATTTTTTCAGGGATATACAAAATAATTCACCACAGTAAATAGACTGTCACCCATAATAGAACGTTATAAAAACCCAGTTAATCGATACTACTCAAATTTCTAAACTGTATTTAATCGGTTACATTTTGAATCTACAAATTACGAGCTGTAACGAGTGTGTAAATCATTAGGGTACCTGTTCATGGCAGTTTATCCTCAACCAAACGAAAAAGACGAGGTAGAAATCATCTGATAAACATCCGATATCATTGCAAAACCATTCAATCAGATCTTTATCAAACATTATTCTTTCCGTCAAGATTACACTCAATGACAAAATCTCATTGCTAATCGAGGGGTCAAAAAAGTTTTCTAAATTTTTTTCATGATCAGTTGAGTATATATCGTAGTTACAAAATTAATAAATCAATGATTTTGTACAATGTCTTTCAATTTTTCACTCAAATTATAAGTGTTTGTTAATAAGCATGACCAGTATATATACGTGAATACGCCATTCAATTCAAGACAGTATATATCAATCAAATTCACCAAATACTTGATATTAACAGGAAAAAATTACAAATGATTTATTGACATAAACAACGTAACATAGATCAGATCAAATAATTTAGGTTAATTCATTACACTGATTTGATAAATTTAATCTAAACAGCTAAACATTGACATTATTGAAATTCACCTAGATTTTGGACACTAAATGTCTTTTTTCTCGGACGTCTGATTTTATCTATATAGATATGTAAAAAGTCACGCATATCAATAATGACTAAACATTTGAGCATAAACATACAATCATTATGCTCACTTGAATATTAAGACATTTATATGAGGATCAAATCCCCTAGAAAATGGGACGTGAGGTAACAATAATTGAACTAAATTTACTTCGGATAAGTTGGTCTCATGAAGACCCATCTTATTCCATGATAGCTATGACTCGAATGAAATGGATAGCTGTTTCATTTTGATATCAGACAATATAATTGGTAGCATTCACTCCCTAGTTTTCAATAACTCTCCTCAACGGACATCAGTTTACTGGTGAAAAAAAATTTAGTCAAATCAAATGAGATCCATTCACAGTACATTTTTGGCATCATATTACGCAATCACTTGTTAGAGTTATTTGATAAGAAAATCAATTAAGACATAAGTTCTAACGCATAAACAATTCCCAACAGATAATGAATACTTATTGACAAAAATAGTATGGTGTAAGTAAATGACTCATGCTAATATTGTCAACTAGTGAACTCAAAAAGAGCTCCAAGGTTTAAAAAACACGTATTTCTTCAATTTTATTATAACTGAAGACATTTTCAAACTTTGATACGAATCAAACTAATCATCTACATGATTGCAGCCTAATTTTGGGAAAACATTTAGTAAAAAAAACCTACATGTTGACAAATTTTACATTTGTAACCTTTAGCTGGAGGATGATATGGAGTATGACCATTTGGAACAGACAGTATGGATGATAAAGAACCTTCACCATTACATATACCATTAATTGATAGATTTTCCTCTTGATTTATCCCGAGAAATCTTGATTCTACTCGTACATTACCATTATTACTATTGTTATTACTACTTGTGACATTATTGTTAGTTGTATTATTATCTTCTCTTTGACTTGTTAATACATCATCCATGACCATATCTGATGAATGTCGATCTGGTGCTATCGTATTTGTGGATTCCGGTGAACATTCTGTAGCTCTTAAAGTAGAATTTCTAAAAATTAAATTATTAATCCGATCTTGTTGTGGTCCAGACAATAATCGACTATTGTTTTTATTCAATAAATTTGTATTACCACGATTTGATTTATGTGTTGTATGATCAATACCTGTATTTGATTCACTTTTATTTGGATTTTCCAATGAATCAGAAAGAGGACTTTTTGGTGAAAACATAAATTGTTGTTGTTGTCCATGAGAAATCGAATAACTATCATTATTTGAATTCGACCTTCTTGTGTTATTACTACTATTATTATTATTATTACTATTACTAGTTGAACTTTGTTCATCCAAATGCTTATTACTTGTAGGTGTTGAATTATCGCGAATTTCGTTGTTCAATGTTGTTTGAAATTGTGAATGATCAATTGTACCAACACAGCCGCCGACAACACCACCGCCACCACCACCACTTCCACCAACTACAGCGGCAGCGGCTAGAGCAACAGCTGCTGGATTACCTAGATTTTTCAAATGGTGACAGTGTAAATTATACGGAGTTATTGTATCCGTTTGTAATTTATTACAATTCACCGAGGTGATCGCTGATTGCTGCCTATTTAAAGCATTTGTTACACTTGATTGTAGTTGAGTTGAAAAATGACTAGGTTTTGCAAAACCATTGCATAAGTTATCTAAAACCATTTCATTTGTATTGGAATTTCGTAAACTAGACTGTACATGACGCGGTACTTGTATACCATGTGATAAAGATAAACCATTAGAATTGCCTAAAGTTGGATCATTTGCACCCATTATAGCAGAATTAGCTGCAGCCGATGCAAAAGCAGCGATCGCTGCAGCATGACTGTTCGAACCGGCTGTTGGATTACTATTAGTATTATTACTGGGATCGTTTAATTGGTCATTTAATCCATTTGTGTTGTTAGTGTCTTGATGCAAATGATTAATATTACCACGAGGTTGAACAGAAAGCAGACGATGTGAAGTAATATGTGCACGTGTATGATTTATAGATGGTGAATGATTTGGATGACGATTACCATCATTATTATCACTTGTTTCATGATCTTGTGATAAATGACGTGTTTCACTTAATCCAACATGTTGATGTGGAAGTATATGTGACATATGCGCTGCATGTGCACCAGTATAAGAGAATCGTTGACAAAAACTTTCAAATGGATCTTCAATCATTCCAGGTATAGTAGCAGATCCAGAACCTGTATATGATACATTCAACATATTAGAACCAGGCATAGCATTCATTGCTCCAGCATTTGCACCCATCATAATTGGTTGTGCATGTGCACCGACAGCAGCATTTGCTGCAACAGCAGGATAACTTGCCCATGGCCATAAAAATAATCCAGTTCTTGTTCGTGGATCAGTACCACTTACATCCATCATGAGTTTAGTTTCAATTTATCGATTTTTTTAAAGATTTTAATTTTTAAATTCTGCTTTCAGTATTAAAAATTGGTACAAGAAAAAAATTGTAACTCAACAGAAGTTTAAATACGTTAAAACATTTGGTCTGTGTTGAATATCATCATCGGAGTTTCGAATACAATTATACTGTTTGATACATTGGACATTGGAATGCTTCTGTTAGTGTTAAATATGGATTGAACAAATAAAAAGAGTGATATTAATAGCAGCCGTAATAGTAGCAATAATAATTGTTGTATTGAAATGAATGTTTGCCAGTTTCATAAAATGATGTGATGACATTCGGAATACACTTGTTACGATTTAAATTATGCACAGTGAATAAATTGCTAATAATTATCAGACATGTAGAACGACAACGACAATAATAATAATTAAATAATTGTTTTTTAATCAAGCTTATTCCATACAAGATGTGCAGAGTTTCAATAGTTTGTCAATATTTGTTGTAGTTATGGAATTAAGAGTAGTAGAACCAGTAAATAGCTACTAACACAGTATTTTTAAAAATAAAATAGTTTTTATGATGTCTCAGTGTTTATTATAAAAATGATTTCATAAATAAATGTGGAAGTGGGGTGAACTAGATAGTTGTTTTAGGTATTTGCATAAAACACTAATATGAACATAAAAAGTAATGATAATGATAGTAATGATAGTAGTTATGATATCAGTACAGTGTTCACCAGATGATGCACGCAGACAAAGCTGACAAATCAGAATAGGGATACTAACAAGTTATCTTTACGTAGGCGATTAGTTCCGGTAGCAATAGGTTATCATTAATAAATCCTGCGTTTGTCTACCATTAGTCTGATGGCCAATCAGAGAAGAGAAGAATACAACCTGTGCACACGAGGTTTTTTCAATTGGCTGTCTAGAAATTGAGGCAATCTAAAAGCGTGTCCTATTAAAATATTTTCTATCTATCTCTCTCACTGAACTTACAATGAAATGTGGACGAATAAACTAGAAATAGGACACCGACAATTGTTTATACATTGATATCATGATGTATCAAGGCCAATAAAAGCTTAATCCTAGACATGCCACACACAGCCTAAAAACTCAATTCTTCCACTCATTCACTCACTATTTGTTTGTTTCTGTCTGTTTATTTGTATATTCACAACAATATTCCTTTCATTTAGCTTAATGTCAGTGTATACAATTCAGCTCCACGTTTTCATTTATGTAATGACAACCTAACCGTACTTAAGAAGTACAAATTGTGATGAGACTTTATAATGTAATCTTTAATCGATAAGAAATTAGTAAATTTATTGTTTACTGGTAAAAAGTGTGATATATTCTTCTCATTTAAGAAATTTTATTATCGTTTACTATTATTCAATTTCTCAAAAGAATTACTTGTTGCAGGTATACAGACTTAGAACTCGGGTTGCGTGTTGATAGTATATTAAAATCAGAAAAATATTTTATAATTCAAAGGCGTGAATGGTTGTTAGTGGGATATTTAACCTCTACTGATTCTAGTACTAATTCTACTGTTCTGAGATTTGTCCTGATAATATAATCTTATCGTGTTATTACAATGTGACGACTTGAATCAGTGTCAGGTCTTTTGTTGTATATAACTAAGGGACTGGTAGATAAGATTACTTTATAGCCCCTCCATTACATAATAACTCCATCGATGTATTCCGATTTAAACATAACTGTCAATATGAGTGGACGTTTTATGTTGTCTTATTCAGTAAATTTTATTCTTCATCTTTCCTAATGGTAAGAATCATTTCTACCGATGTGAAATGTAACGTCATATTCAATTCTGAATTATTTGTATTGCAAATTGATAGGTTATTATGATACATACGGTTCACTTTTAACATTTGACAAACATGGTATTCTTCAACGGTTGAGTCATTAAAGTAATCATTTTGAATTATATTTATAATTGTCGTAAATTACCATCAAAAATCGAATGTACCATTAATGATGTCCGTTTGCTTAATATCATCAGTTCTTTAAAAAGTTAGTAGCAATAGTCCTTTTTAAATGCTAAATTTATAAAAATAGCTTTCATCTAAAACTGATATCAATCGAAGAATTATTGGAAATCAAGAGACAGTGATCGTGAGAGATTTGAAGCTTATTTTGTGAATAAATAATAATAATGGCTTTATTTAATGTTCTATTGTTAAATACAGTATAAAATTCTCAAATTGCGATATTTCAACAAGTTTCTTTTACTCTTCTTATGAATTGCAAAAAGTAAATATGCACCATGTATACGTGAAATAGGTAAATAAAATTGTCTAGGATAATATAAAATATTTGTGAGAAGATAAAAATCTACACAATATTGAATTGGAAGCAGATTCAAGAGTATAAGTTTACGGTTTGATCAGCTCTTACAACATATTCATCGTATAGCAAATGTGTTAGATACAATGTTACATGAGATTTATAGCTAGGATTACATACATGGTTTCTAGTGTGACTGCTTCTCGTTCTACAGGACAATATGTGATGGGAAAGATGTAAATGAAATAGATAGTTTGTATCCGACAAAGATCGGTTGTCATCTGTTTACAAAATTCTAAATGTAACGCCGTTAAAAGTTGACCATCGTTCATTGGGTGTTAAGTACTCATTTATTTCAAGGAGTATGAGGAAACTGAAAGTGATGTACATACAGTGAGATCATCTGAATATTTGAGAAAACTTTTAATAGACGACAATAGATTAGGAAGAAAGGAAAGACAAAAGAACACTTACTTGTGGTACAGCAACATAAGTTAATAAATAAGTCGAATACTTTCTTTTGAGTATGGTAAAATATTCTCTTCCAAAGAATTGAAAACACAGCCAATTGGTCATCCCTTTCTTGGTATCAACACCAACCAACTTACATAATAATGAAGGTCAAGGAGATAAGTAAACGGCTTCAACAATTCAGTTCACCTACAACAGAGTTAATAGCTTCTGTTGTACAAAATAAAGTACTATAGGGCAAAAATGGTTAATAAATACTATTTTTATTTACCTACGAATCAGCAAAAATATTTCTAACAAAATAGGACCAAAGTTTCTATCTGCGAGATGCAAACCAATTAACGTTAGCCAAAGAGCGACGATAATCAACCATTCCACTATGAAACCTTGCGATCAGTCAAACTAGCACCCATCGTCAGTCGTCCATTCAAAGTACTGTTTTGCCATTCGCAAGGAAACTGAAATGAATCAACAATTTCTTTTACCTCGGTCTGCAGTGGGAGTAGTAGGAATTTCTTCGTCGTTTCGAGAAAATGCGAATTTATTGTAATGGATCAAAACGTTACATTCTTATCACTGGATATGTTCTTTGACAAACATATAATCCATATTGTTCTCCATATTTTCTTTGTAAAATTAGTTAAAAACGATTCGTTAAGAACGCTCTTAAATGAAAGAAGCACAGTTCTTAAAAAGAAGGTTTGGCATGACGTCAGTTCCTAAACATTGTAAACAGTTAAGTCAATTGAGACATTTTAACGCATCAGTTTCAGTAAAAATTGAGACACAGCTTTTCCTCAAACCTAAAGAACTCGGAAACATGAAATTAGATCATCAACGTAAAAAGTGTTATTTCAAGTTACAAACATTCAGCTGAGCATTATCACTATTTCCTTTCTTACTGTAAGCTCTTCAAATAGTTTCCATATATTTGAAGAGTTTTTATAAGATAAGAGTTCTTAAACACTGCAAAAATTATTAATTCAACAAATCTACATATATTATCACTTGGTGATCACACACTTGATTTATGTTCTTAACTTGTGCAAATAACTATCATACCATTTTTTTATTTTCCTCTTACGGTAAGTAAATCCAAAACGAGACCGGCTAGCAAAATGAATGTTCTTTCTTGAATTAAGTGAAACGAAGAAAAGTAATTTATTAACTTTTTGAATCAAATAATAGTCATATACAATTATATTTTAATAATAAACCAATAAATTAAACTAGGAATATAAGAAATTCGAATAATTTTTTTCTGGTTAGCGTTTTTTGGCGAGTTAGTTTTCTACGGGTTGGGTTTGCTAACCCCATGCCCAACCCTCCTCCTTTATTTGGGGTTGGGACCGGCAGTAGCCCCCAGAGGGACTCCAGGCGGAGTTGGACGATCTAGACTTCGCAGACGATCTGGCGCTTCTATCTCAAACGCAAAAACAAATGCAGGAGAAGACGACCAGTGTAGCAGCAGCCTCAGCAGCAGTAGGTCTTAATATACACAAAAGGAAAAGCAAGATTCTCCGATACAACACAGCATGCACCAATCCAGTCACAATTGACGGAGAAGATTTGGAAGATTTAAAAACCTTTACATATCTGGGCAGCATCATTGATGAACACGGTGGATCTGATGCAGATGTGAAGGCGCGGATCGGCAAAGCAAGAGCAACATATTTACAAGTGAGGAACATCTGGAACTCAAAACAACTGTCAACCACCACCAAGGTCAGGATTTTCAATACAAATGTTAAGACAGTTCTACTGTATGGGGCGGAAACCTGGAGAACTACGAAAGCCATAATCCAGAAAATACAGGTGTTTATTACCAGTTGTCTATGCAAAATACTTCAGATCCGTTGGCCGGAGACTATTAGCAACAACGTACTGTGGGAGAGAACAAACCAGATCCCAGCGGAGGAAGAAATCAGGAAGAAGAGCTGGAAGTGGATAGGACACACATCGAGGGAAGCACCCAACTGTGTCACAAGACAAGCCCTCACATAGAATCCTGAAGGAGTAACAGGCGTAAGTAAGTAAGTAAAGTTTAAGTATAACAAATTCAGTGATTTGGTCGAAACATAATTGATAAATTCATTACTATAAAAGGGTTTGTGGAGGTTATCGGATTTTCATATGTTATATCACGAACATATTTTACCTAGACAACCACTGATAACTAGTAAACACTTGACAGTTGTCTCAGCTTAGTATACGATTCTTCAAAAGTACCTACCCTTGACTCCGACATAGGTAACTTAACCTATAGTTTATAGTTATCGTCCTCTCAAGCTTAATCCCTAGACCATTGAGTCATCATACAAAGGCGTACATGTTAATTATGTCCATAACTAACCAGATCGTTGCTTAAGCTCACACCACGTCAATTTGGTTAGGTATGTCTGTAGACTATCCATGTTGCATGTGACATGCCGATTGAAGGACATTATCACCTTATTATATTAGCGTGACTCATTATTTTTATTCATTTAGATAAGACAAGCAATACTGGTCGGTATGTTCGTGCGTTCCATTTAATGACTAATTCCTTTAATTGCTGTACTAATCAAATTACCTTTACATTTAGAAACAGATGAATTTAAAGCCAATTTGTCCTTGTTCTGACTAGTAGTATATCTATAGGACAAATTAAATCCTGCAGTACATATCTAACATCAATCTGTTCAAAATGTTGTACGACCTTCTCCCATCTACTGTGGTTGAGAACTATCTCACACAGGATACAGTTGAATTCCATTGGTCATGGCTTCTCTCCAGAACTCTGATGGAGTTGTGGATGCTCGCTGTTGAGATGTCCCATACACGAACGAAACAACTGTTTAGCGTTTCCCAGTTTTCAATCAGGATTTAGCTAAAACGAGTTCGTAATTAAAACTATGATAAACATATCTCAC